GTGTTTTTTGGTATCATCAAATATCAGATGGCTGTATTTCATGCACTCATGTTTGGATCTTCTATTTTGTTTTGTTACTCCTTGTGTCTGTTTTTGTGCCATTACTATATGGTTTTTGTGCTAGTTTACTATAGCTCTGTAATATATCTTGGGATCTAGAATGGTATCTCCTCAGCATTATTTTTGCTCAGGACTGCTTCGGTATTTGTAGCCTTTTGTAGTTCCATATGAATCTTAGGACTCCTTTTATTCCCATTTCTCTGAAGAATGTTGTGGGGTTTTTATTGAGTGTGTACTGCATCCATAAATTGCCTTCAGTAGGATGGTTATATTTTCACAATAGTTATTTTTCCAATCTGTTAATACAGAAAAAAATTTCTGTTTTCTGGTTGGTATCTTCCTCAATCGATTCAGAGATTTAAAGTTTTCATTGTAGGGGTCTTTCATCTTCTTTGTTCAGTTGTTGTGGTTTGAATGAAAATGGACCTTATATGCTTATATATTTGAATTTTGGTCCCCAGTAAGTGGAACTGTTTGGGAAGGGTTAGGGGGTACGGCTTTGTTGCAAGAGGTGTGTCCCTACCGATGGACTTTGAGGCTTTAGAAGCTCATGCCAGGCCTAGTCTCTGTCTCTCTGCCTGGTACTTGTGGATCAGATGTGAACTGTTTCAGCTACTGCTCCAATGCCATGCCTGCCTGCCATCATGCTCCCTGCCATGATGATCATGGACTAACCCCCTGAAACTGTAAACAAGACCCCAAATAAATGTCTTCCTTTATTAGTTGCCTTGATCATGCTGCTTCTTCACAAAAATAGAATGGTAATTAAAGTCATTGTGACAGAAGTTAGTACCAGGGACTTAGGCATTGCTGTGACAGCCATCACCATTCTGTTGCTTGGAGAAATATGAAAGACTTTGGACTAGTTCTGGAATACCCTGCTGTTTGAGGTCTCACTCCACCATGTCTAGACAGCTCTCCCAAGCTTGGTGCAGAATGGAGGACTACCTTTCTCAGCAAGGGGCTTCTTTTTCTCTGCCTGAATTTGAGTGTCTCTAAGCACAGCCCCACCCGTGAGGGAGGTCACATAACTCAAGGCCAAAATGCAGGTTCAACTTCCTTTCTCCTGATAAGAACCTGCTACACACTAGTCTCTGGAATTCCTGGAATGTAAAGCCTTCTCTGCATCTCAAGCCCCAGCCAATAGTGTACACCTACCCTGAAACATGCTACCCACTCCCCTGAGAACTATATAGCCTTTGTTGAACAGTCTCACCGAAGCTGCTCCCAGAGGTCAGTCATTCTGTCATACTCAAGGGCTGAGGGAGGCGTGTAAGGGCAGGTCACACACTAGATAATCAGTTAAATGATGTAAGTGGGGCTTAATGGGTTGCCCTAGTAGAAGCACAGAAGACAGTAGTACTGTGAACAATAGGGGTCATGGAGGCCCAGCTCAAGCGCTTTTAGAGGGGGTCAATATTAGCAGCCAGGCTACAGACCTTTGGCAAAGATGTGGCATTTTTGTCCTAGTCCTAAAAATCTGTCTGAAGCTAACTTGAAGAATTCCTAGCTAATGTCACTGGCGGAGGAGATTTCAAAATAACCTTTTCTGACTGTGTCACATGGTTATAGTGACCACTCTTATGTAGAGCTTCAGTTAAAAAGAGCAAGAGGGGTGAAACAAATGTATGTATAGTTTGAGGCAATAACGAGATCAGGAAGCACAATGTTGGAGCCAAGCCTTGTGCTCAAGGAGATGTGAAGGCCTGATGATAAATGAAATAAAGGCACCTTTGGAAAGAAAATCCATCTAGCTGCCTGCACCCTCGGAAAGGCTGAAGGCCACCTAGAAACAAGTCATCAATAGGTCCCAGCTTATGCAAATGAAAGTCATGGAGGGGGCCAGGTTTCAGCCCAAGCAAGCAGAAGAACTTGGCAGCATCAGCCACAATATTATAGTTTTATCACGATATGTCACTGGGAAGAGGTGGAGAGAAAGGGGTTATGGGATCCTCTTCTGTGGTTAAGGGGACGAGGTGTGTGGCAGGGGAGTGTCGCATGGAGACTCAGACAGGTCATCACATGAAGCTGTGAAGGTGAAATCTGAATTGGAGTCCCTAACATGTTGGAAATACCAAAGCCATGGGATACCTTCCAAGGACAGCTACAGGCAGGGTATGGAACCAGCCCAAGGGAAAAAGGTGTGCTTCCATCAACAAAGCTGGAAGGAATGGGAGACATGAAGAGACATCTAATAAGCTTTTTGGCATCAGGCATAGAGATACAGAATTTAAAGTTTTTCCTCGTTTTGGTTTTGCTTTGGTCCAGTAGTTCCTCACAATCCCTCTTTCCTCTATTTCTGGAAAGGTAAAGTATATTCTGTGCCATTATGTTGGAAGTATATAACTTGCTTTTTGATTTTACAGGGGATACAATTAAGATTGCCTTGAGTCTCAGAAGAGACTTTGGAATCCCTTCTCCTCCCCCTGAGACAAGAGTTTTTCTGCGTAGCCCTGGCTGTCCTGAAATTCACTTCATAGACTAGCTTAGCCTTGAACTCAGGGATCCACCTGCCTCTTCCTCCCAAGTGCTGGGAGTAAAGGCGTGTGCCGCCACCACCACCCAGCTGGGACTTTGGACTTTAAAACAGTGCTGAGATGGTGAAGAACTATCGGGGCTTTTGAGTTGGACTGAATGCATTTTGCATTAGAAGTAGCTACAAGGGTATGAGGACCAGGGAATGGAATGTGGTGGTTTGAATGAGATTGGCCTCCATAGGCTCATATATTTCAATGTTTGGTTCCCAGTTGGTGGAACTGGGTCAGGAGGTGTGGCCTCATTGGAGGGGGTATGCCACTGGGAGGAGGCTTTGAGGTTTCAAATTACTCCCACTACTGCAAACTTGTACAACAACTATGGAAATCAATATGGCAGTTCATAAAGTTGGGAAAGATTTAGCCACCACTTTTGGGCATATATCCAAAGGATGCTTCATCTCACCACAACAATACTCGCTCAACCAGGTTCATTACAGTTCTCACAACAACCATAAACTGGAAACAACCTAGACATCCCTCAACAGAGGAATGGATAAACAAAGTGCGGTAAATCTACACGATGGAGTATTACTCAGCTATGTAAAAAACAGACATCATGGAACTCAGAGGTAAATGGACAGAAGAAAGACAAACACAGTAAGTATTCATTTATATGTGGACATAAGCTGTAAAGTCAGTGATAACCCAGCTACAATCGAAAGAATCACAGAGCTTAGGTATAAAGAGACTAGGATGGGCACATGGGTCTCCTTGGCCAGGGAGGTAGAATAGATTTTACAAGTGGACTGGGGGCTGGGGAATGGAGGATCAAGTGGGGAGGGAGAAAGAAGACAGGGTTGAGGGAGGGAATTCATGGGGAGACAGCTGGAATTAATGGGCATTTGAGGGATGATATGGAAACCTACTTCAGTAGAAACTTCCTAAAATATATGAAGACAATCCTAAAGAGGTCTCGTAATAACAGGGGATACTGAGTCACAACTGGCCATCTCTTGTTACCAAATGAGGCTTCCAGTACCAGGAGTGGGTTGCATTCAATTGAGTTGTTGCCCAAAGAGGTCCTATAAAAATCACCCCCCAAAAATCCTGGGCTGTTGCTAAGACAATGGGTTGTTCTCTGCAAACTGACAGCAAGGCCTCATTGCTGAGGACAACACCCACACAACTCACTGAACATGGAGAAATCAAGGTAGTGCCTACATAGAGCCTCCACCCTACATTCTTTTGTCTTTGGTGTGGGTGGTACTCTGCAGGCTACCAAAAGAGAAACGTAGACACCAACCCAGCCTTTGACCTTCAATCTGTCCTATCTGTAAGATATGCTAGGGCAATAGTGGCACAAAACTTGTGGGAGTAGCCAACCAATGTCTAATTTGACTTAAGGCCCATTCCACAAGATGGAACTCCTACCCAACATTGCTTGGGTGACCAAGAACCAGAGACTAGATAACCCAGAGACCTCAGCCAAAACCTCTTCATATCCTTCTTGCCAGAGCTCAGGAAACCCTGAGGAAGAGGAGGCAAAAAGAGTGCTAAGGGCTGGAGGGGAAAGAGGACATCCGAACAAGGCCCTTTCAATCAACTGAGCAAGGCTCCTATGAACTCACAGATGCTGAAACAGGACAGACAGGAGGTCTGCACCAGGGTCTCTCATATATATTATAGCTTTCAGCTTAGTATTTTTTATGGGATGCCCGGGTATGTGAACAAGTGGGTCTCCGATTCTTGTGCCTACTCTTGGGGCTCTTTTCCTTCTGTTGGACCGCTTGATCCAGCCTCCATGTGATGGTTTTTGTTTTACCTTATTACAATTAATTTTGTTATGTTTGGTTGTTATCTCTCAGAAGCCTGTTCTTTTCCTAATGCGAGACAGAAAGAAAGTGGATCCGGAAGAGAGGGGAGGTGGGCAGGAACTGGAAGGGTAGAGGGAGGGAAAACTGTAATCAGGACATACTGTATGAGAAAAGAACAACAAAAAGATAAAAATGAGAAAAGAAGGAAAGAAAGGGAGAAAAAGCAAAGGGAAGGCGATAAGACCTTTATTGTGGGCTCAGCAAAGGGAATTGCTCAAAGGTGGGAAACTCACAAAACTTGAGGAAAGGATTAGGTTAGAGTGGAAAAAAATTAGTTTATGCAAGAGATACAGAGAGGCAGTTTGGATGGGGCTTTGTGATGAAGAGGCATAATGTGGAATCAGTGGAGTAACTTAGGAAACAAGCTGGGAACAGTGGTGCACACCTTTAATCCCAGCACTAGGGAGGCAAGGGCAGGCAGAGCTAGGTGACCTGAGGCCAGCCTGGTTTACATAGTGAGTTATTGGACAATCAAGAGCTACACAGTGAGACTGTCTTGAAAAACAAAACCAAAACAAAACAACGGGAGCGGGGTGAAAATCAGAGAAACATATGAATAGAAGTCTTTTTGAGTGGTAGCTCAAAGTAGTATGATGACGAACAACACTTTTACGATGTACTCTTTATTGGGTGTGACTGTCTGGTTCAGTACCAACACATGTCAGCCTATTTTATCAGAACAGTGATCTCAGGAGATAACTGCCATGGTTACTGTCAAATGCTGCCAAGGAATCTTAGCTTCAGAGAAGTTATGGAATGTCCCCAGTGTGGTCCCTTTCACTATGACATGTTTGACTTTAACCTTCACCTCTTTTTTAATTATTTGTCAGACTATCTCTGAAAATTAAAGTGGACTCTGAAAACATTGTAAAAAAAAAAAAAAAGACTCCCACCATTTCTAGTTAGTTCTCTCTACCTTGTGCTTATGGACCAAGATGTAAACTCTCAGCTACTGGTCTAGTTAAAAAAAAAAAAAAAAAAAAAAAATCCTGCTTTCATAAGTTGGCTTGGTCATGGTATTTTATCACAGCAACAGAAAAGTAGCTAAGACACTCGGAGTGTATTTTGGCTGTAATTTAAGTCACTGGCTCATCTCTGAGACAGTCTGACTCCATTGGGAGAGGCTTGATGGTTAGGTGTGAAAAAGACACCAGGGCCCAGGCATCTCACATCTGTCCACATTGTCCCAGTGCCCATGCCAGGCTTCTGCCTCCTCTTGGTGTTGGTGGCTAGTGTATCCCTGCCAGTAAAGAGGGTGGGATTGCTTTCCTAAGGACATGAAGAACAAAATCAAGCCCACCACAGGAAACAAGGCACTGGGACAAACTTCTGCTAACCCAGGACACAAAAATTTTGGAGGGCAAACTAAGCTCACAACAGGCCGGTCTGTCTTGTGATGTGGGTCCCGAAGCGCTGGGGCTACAGTGCTCATGTTCATCCAGCTGAAGGGGTCAGAGTTAGTCCAAAATGGTCCGAAAGTCTGTGCTTACAGCTGGGTCAGCTGCAGCCTCCAGGATGGCCATTGTTGCCTTTCGGAGCTTCCGGCACAGCTGTTTTTGGGCTGCAACAAAGGATGTATTCAAATTTCATTCCAAAAAAGATGATGTAGTTCCTTAGCCTGCTTAGGTCAGGTCCTGGCCATGTGTAGGCCAGGTGTAAGCAGGAGCCCTACCCAGGAACATACCACCACCACAGAGGGCACACGAGGACCTCAAGAGTGACAATATGGAAACAGGAACAAGACAGGAACCTGAGGATCCCTCCCTGGTTGCGCTTGGGACTAGGCAGGGATCAGAAGGTTCCTGAGAGTGAACCATGTCACCCCTTGGGCCTCTCCTGAGATAAGAGGCAGAGGCAGAACAGAGGAAGCAGGAAGGCAGAAGCAGGATGCTGTGGTCTAGAAGCCTAGCTCCCCCACCCGGGGCTGCCCGAGTGAGCTCCTCCTCAGGCAAATGAGATGGCACGCAGGGTTAAAGGCTAGACTTCGGGGCCATTCGAAGGGAGCTCACATACCTGTCCTGAGAGGTCCCAGGAGACACTTGTAAATGACAGAATGAGCAGCCAGCTTGCGCAGGAAGGCTTGGTAGCAGAGCCAACGTACAGCTTTAGGAGGAAATGAGCCAGAGGCACCCTTTGCCTTTAGTGTCATTCCTGGGGGGAGCAGGTGGAGGCTAAAGAACCCAGCTGGCCACAGAACCCTCTTGACCTGCAAGGGCCTAGGCTGGCCATACTAGCTCCCAAGTGAGGTCCACCCCCTCCACAGGAACGCTGGCCCCGGCCCGTATGTGCACCTGCATTCTTGACCTTCAGGATGGAGTAGCCGCAGGATGCTATGTTGGAGATGATGCCCAGAAAGAATGTAGGGTTCTTCTTTACACGCTGGTCAAAGGGAAGCTGAAGCACACATGCATGGAATCTGGGCAGGAGCCACAGTGGTGGGGAAGGGTAAGTGTGAGCATGCATGTACACAAGAGGAAGCTCTTGTCTGTGCATACATGTCAATTGTATACTCATGTGCACTGAATCATGTAACTGTCATACAAATGAACTTAAAACTACATGTGGAACACACAAGCGTGTGTGCGCGTGCATGCCTTCATACACGTATACTGCCATGTAACTAGTCCCTTCCCAGCTGCCCCATGCGCTGTCACCTCATGTCACATCCAAGGGTAGACTGCCTGACAGGGAAATTGTACCTGTCTTCCATAGCATAAGCTCTTCCCCATACTTGGCCCCAGCGACCAGGGTTTGGCTCAGTTAGGAGGCAGCCAGATCCACAGTGATATACAGTTGACCTGTGGTGGTTAGCGCTACCAACTCCAGGCAGAATGATGGCATCTGCAGGAACTAGTCAGGGAGAAGCCAATCCTATCCCTGCAGGAAACCTCAGCAGAAAAGACCTGTGCTGTGTCCCTACGGTGACATAGAGAAGTGACTGTAATGAATGACATGGCCTAACAAACCTGACTGAAGGTGGAGACATTCTGCTACCTGAAAACTGGGAATGGACCCCACTGAGCCACCAGCCTCGGGTCTCAGGACCACCCAGAGATAAGAATGTTCCAGAAGCACAAGCCAATGTGGGAGGGGCACCATGACGTCCAGGCTGCTTTCAGCTGTGTCCTTGTTGTGCCTTCTGAGGTGCTTTCTTGAGGGGCTCTTTACCCTGTCCTGTCTCAAGACAGCCAACCACAGGCTCTGGTCAGCACATAAGGTCACATGCTCCCAGCACAGGGAGACCAGAAGAGGTTCTCACCTTACATACCGGAATGCTGCTTTTTCCTAACCTTACTTCAGCATGCCTCCCAATTAAGCATAGCAACTAGCCAGCTCTGCCTTGAGCTTGAAGGCCCCAGCTGACAGCATGGCTGGCATTTCTGGCCTGTGCCTCCCTCTAGTGGTGGCACAGCCCATGACTCACCTGTAGGCCTGAAGCAGGAAGATCTTGTACACATTGATGCAGACTGTCTGAAGGCAGTTCACCTGGAGTCCCAAGGGAGAGAGAACCATCAGCAATGTCCCTGGGATCACACACAAACACTTTCTGTGTTGTTGTCAAATGGGATAAGAAAGCCACTTATGTGGGAAACCCAGGAAATTGAGCCAGGCCCCCATGCATCATCGAGAGGAGAGGAAGCAGGAGAGAGCAGAAGCCAAAAGCTACTACAGTGGCCTCTCTTGAGAGACTCAGCAGCCATGGCCTGAGAGCCCAAGGCCAGGGCCAGAATCCAGGAAACCTATCTCTCTGTGGGGACAGATGACAATACCAGAAAGTGATGGAGATGAGCAGGGTGACTGCTCAGGGGTCCTCAGTATACATTCACATTTCTCCATGTTCCTCCCACACACGTGTTACACCTGGACATACATATGCATATACACAGAGTAGGACAAGGGTTCAACAGATGCGGTGGCTGCCATCTGCTTACCTGAAAGTCTACAAACAGACTGTGACACTTCAGTCGCAAAACTGCCAAAAGCTTGCATCGCATGTTCCTCCCAGCCTTGGAGAGCCGCTGGAAGGTCAGGCTGGTTTTAATTGATGTCCGGGCGTACCTGCAGCACAAATGTATCCTACCTGTGTGATTCCCTCACTAACCTCTGACCTGAGAGACCAGCATCAGTGCCCTTCCACCTCCTGTCCCTCTCCATCATGCACCGAGGGCTTAGATGTGGCTGGACCATCACACATGGGACACATCCAGCTCTGGTACATGCTCACAGAACCACCTGAAGCCCTGGACAACCAAACCCAACTGAATGGAGTGAGCAGCATCCATTTTATCCAGGTTTGGGATCACCAGACATCTTTGTTCATCAGTGGCAAATAAGAGGTATGAGAATTCAGTTCAGAAAGATGAATCATTGGGAAATCACAAAGCCCTGTGCTTCTTCTAGAGGCTGCAGTGTGAGCACCTTCCCAGCATAGGGCTGTGAATGGAGTGGAAAACTACCCCCAACCAGATGTCTGTGGTGGCGTCAAATCACCTGCAGACTGTAGGATGCTTCTGGGTCATCTTGGGAAGACAGATGGGACAAGTGCAGGGCAGAGGTAAGGGGGTGTGTGGCTTCCTGTCACCCAGTGACCTTGTATCATCCTCAAAGATGAATACAGTTGATAGGTACAGTTCCCTGTTAAGTTTCTTTCAAAAAAAATTTTTTTAATGCATGTGTGAATGCATGCCTGTGTGTGGAGGCCACATTCCCGTCATTCCCTCGAGACAAGAAGGTCTCTCACTGAACCTGGAGCTAGGCCCTGTGATCAACTTTTCTCCATCTCTACCTAGTGTTGTGGATACATGTACACACCCTCGCTTTTTATGTGGGTTTCGGGGTTTTGAACTCAGATCCTTATTCTTGCACAGAAAGCACTTTTAACCCAAGTCCCCTCCCTCCAGCCCTAGTCATACCTCTACACATCTGCACTTTATAGTGTTAAAACGGGGTTTCTGTCACTAAATATTGTTTGAAAGTGTAATGTTTATAGAATAATAAGGCTGTTTCTTGTGAACAGCAGCATCTTCTATGCCACTACTTAGGTCGATGGGCAAGACAAACCTGCCTTACCATTTCTAAATGCTCCAGTAAAATCTCTGGTTCTCTCTCTCTCTCTCTCTCTCTCTCTCTCTCTCTCTCCCTCTCCAGGATAGATATGGACTTACTAGGAAAAATGAATGGGCTTCCTAAGGACCAAAGTACCAGCAAGTGTCACTTTCTAGACACTTGTTGCCCTAGCCTGACCCCACTCGAGCCTATGTGGCTATGTGTAGAGCCTCAGCATGCACACATCCTGAAGATCCGCTGCACAATTCTGGGAGACACAGCTTTTTACACGTCAGTCAACTCTTGTCACGCTTTGCATGTGAGCTGTGCTGTGGGGAGAAGCAACTCCTACCATTACGTTTTCCCTTTAGGACTTTGCTAGTCACTGTGGCTGACCTCCAGACACATTGTCCCTGGGTCAGACAAAAGGATTCTCAGCTCAGTTGAGCGTACCCACACTGCAGCCTCAGAGGCTGAACTCACAGCTACTCTGAAGCAGGAACCTGTCCAGGGGTTGCCTGGCTTCCCATAAGGGTGCTGTTCTCAGGCTCTAGCAGTGTGTCTAGAGGGAAAATACTTTTTGGAATACTTTACCCACTACTCAGGGACACAGAAGGCTGCTGGGGGTTGGAGCCAGGGACTTTATCCTCAAAAGGGCTGGACCCTCCTGGGGAATGGAACAGGTAAGTTGATATGTTCAGCAGCAAGGTGGGGGCTGGGGCAGCAACAATGGGTCTAGGAGGCAGAGGATGAAGCCAAGAAATCAGAGCTGAATCATAGGGACTGGCCCAGTTCAGCATACAAAGGCAGGGAGGCTGAGGAGCATGGGCCTGTACTGACAGAAACGGTGTAGATGAGGCATGGCACAGATGGCTTCTCTGCACCTGGCTCTTCCCTTACAACGTCAACTTCCAAAGAGCGCGATGTACGGAGAGTTTGGATCTAAGCTCAGAACAGACAGCTGTCAGCATGAGGACAGGTCTGTTAGTCTCCTACCACAATGTTGGAATTCTCACACTTTTTACTCAGAAAAGAAAATGGTCCAGGTCTTTTCACCCACGTCTATCTCATATCGGAGGAGGGCCTTGGCTCCATGGTCTCCAGGAGAGATGGGACAAGGCTGAAGATGTTCTCATATTGCCTACGACCATCTCCATGAAAGAAGGGGACCCCTCTATCTCATGGCCTCCATCATTTCAGGCCTCCTAGTTGTGTCCATAAGGAAATAGAATGGCGTACCCCACAGCACCATCTGCTCCCGAGTCCATGGCTCCTCGGGTTCTTACCCAGAGTAGTCACACAACACCTCCAGAGTCTGAGTGTCCAGCAGTAAGCCACACCAGGGAAACAGGCAGTGAGCGGGCAGCTGAGGAGGGGCCGCACCACCCAGGTCACCCGTCTCCACAGGGAAGTTCACCATGGTCTTCTGCAAGTTTATCATGCAGCCGTACTCAGGAATGCCACGGACCAGGGCCCTGAATAGGAGAAGGAACATCGGTTATGGGAGCCTGGAAACACTCAAAACATGCCACAAAAATTCCCAGGCGTGTCCTGGGACCAGAGAGAGTGGGCCCTCGTGGGAACCCCGATGGAACATCTGACATTCTTGCTCTGGTCTGTGACTTAGCCCATTTTCTGTGTCAGCAATGGAGCAATAAGGCCAGCTCAGAACAAAATGGCCAGGCCTTAGACAAGTAGGAAGGTTCACATGACTCTGTGGGCCATATCTTAGCATCCACGAAGGAAGGCATCCTCTCCCTCTTACCCCAAAGCCTGTTTTCTTGTAGCTGCTTTGCGATGCTTGTGGATGTGGATTGCTTCCCCAATGAGCAAAGGCTAAACAGACTGCTTGCCTGCGGGACAGATCTCCCCGGTGAGCTGAAAGCAGACGTGCACCCTCTCCCAAGGTGAACCTGGATGGCGGTCTGGCTCCTGCACCACGGTGTGGCCACTCGATGCCCCACTTTCTGTGTACTCTCCATCCTTGTGGCCGGTCAGGCCCTGTAACCGGCCTGGCCAGTTTCCTACAGGAGTTCATGGACAGACCCACCTAGCAGCCCCCTCTCCTGGTGACCTGACATTCACCAGAGCCACTTCCCCGATAAAGTCTTAGGGTCAAAACTGACTTTTTGGGGACTCTGTCCCCAGTGGCCGCTGCCTATGGGCCATGAGGCTCCCAACTGCTCCAGGTGTGGTGGGGCCATCACTGGGGCTGGCTCTGCGGACCTTGACATGTGTATCCTACTGGACACCAGGGCACTAGTACAAGCAGAGGCAGTCTGCAAAGAGTACTGCTGGGTGGATCTGGGACTAGACAGCATGTAGTGGACAGTGGCAGCACCAACACCCCAGCGGTGACAATTTCTGAGGGCTCAGTTTAATTAACCTCTCTTGCCAGTCATCCTACAAACTTCACAGTGCCTGAGGGGCCATCCTCTATAATATCTGATCTGAGGGAGCAATCAAATTGCAGTGCCCAAGGAACCTCAATCTCTGCTCCCGGCTCTGAAGCAGGGCCGCAATACCCAATTCTAGCTTGAGCCATAAAAATTAACTTTACAACCAATATGCCAATAACCCCAGCCTAACCTCTACATAAACTATAAACAGAATCTACAATATACACTATATCCCACTAGTATGACTACTGTGCAAGAAAAAAAAAAAGACCACTCCTGATGTAATAGCCATGACTCAAAACACAATCAGTAAGTCCCAATTCTCTAGTCTTCTACTAGCAACCACATAAAGAAAAGCTACCCCACAGAGCCATGGAGCTGTTCCCCCAGTGCGCATTCTTCATGGTGTGACGCCAAGCCTCCAAGCTGTCAGGAACGGCTGTGCTCAGGGACAGGACATCTCCCAGAAGGGCACTGTGCCTCAGGCCTCAGCAGATAGCCCTTCCGTGGGCTCCGCTGGGAGGCCTGGGAATTACTGCCTGCTGTCCTGTCTGGGGACTTTCCAAATGCTGGCACTGACTTGGTCTTTCACCGCACTGCTTCCTCAGTGAGACAAGCTGGACCAACCGTGGGTGCCATACTTTCTTCCGTGGTGTTACAGGTGTCAAGCCTGGCTGCCCAGGTGAGGTGCCCCTGCCACTTTGTAGAGATGCTACAGGACTTGGGATCCAGGCGCACAAAATTACTTAATAATTAAATGTGCTGCCTCCGCCATACATACGTCATACAGCAGAAACCCCGACATGATGGTCCTTACCTGAGGAAGGCTTTTGCCTGGACCAGGTGAGGTGTCACCAACAGAAAGTCATCAACAAAACGTAAAAGCAGTCTAAAATGAGACATAGTGATAGGCTTCACAAAGCATCCACCTGTAAGGGATCCTGCCTAAAACATTTTAAATATCAAAATACACATAGACAAAAAAAAAAAAAAAAAAAAAAAAAAAAAAAAAAAAAAAAAAAAAAAGCAGCGATATTTCAAGATAAATGACAGCTTTACTGTTTTCCTAACAGAAATGGGTCTGGGCCACTTCACAGCTTTTTGTGAAGTGAGACAACGGCTGTCACACCTTGAACATAAAGAACCATGACATGCACTCAGTAAGCTGGAAACATGAAGCGTGCAGATATGCCAACTCATGACGTGGCTCCTTGGAGTGGTAAAAGGAAGCATTTACCCATCTTGCTGCACCTCGGCAAACAGCTTGTTCTCCATGTCACCAAAACACAGACTGCAGAGCAGGGTGGACAGGCTGGAGCCCTGGGGGATGCCCTGGCACTGGACGTAGCACCTGGAGGGGTAGGCAGAGTCAGATGCAGCAGCCATCGTAGGCCTCACAGTCATATTTGACATACATACATACACAGACATACATGAATAAACAGAAACCATTCTGTGAACATTCTCACAGGCCACACAGACAGTGGTGTCTACTATTTTCAGTTGCCAAGACCTACAGAGACACCAAATTAAGTACCACCCTTATCTCTGCCATGTCCGCTCTCACTACAGCCTGGCATGGCGGGGGCTACATCCCTGTTTACTGACTCCAGGGCTTTTTAAAATTTTAAGCAAGAATGACAAGCAGTCAGGCTCTTGAACTGAATATTTATCTGAGACAATCAGTAACAGATTATTAATGAAGGAGCATTTCGGGTAACAGCCACGTGACAATGTTAGTGCCTTCTCCTCAGGGAACATGGTGGCATCAAAGAGCTATGCGGGTGCTGGCAGGGGTGGTTGTCATTGGACGGTTGGGACAGAAACTCACACAGGGAACCCATACGTGAGACAGTAGGCATGAATTGACCTCCAACTGACCCCTCGCACTGACTCAGACCCTGTCTGCTAGAGAACTGTCAGGAAGCTCTCTAGGCACTGTGCACATGGATCTGACTTTTAGGTGTATCAAGCTCACCCGCATGAGAACTAGGGGAAGTTCCCTGCCACGTGAATGAAGGTGTTCGAATCTGTGCTCAGTACCATTGGGACTCAGGAGCGCCCTTTGCTGTGTTTGTCAAAATGCATGCCGTTGTACACTTGTGGTCTCCCACCATGCACACCCAACATTGCCAACTATATCCTAACACATGCCAGATATTTCTTGCCCTGCCTTACTCATCTCTGATAACCCTGGGTGTGAGCCTGGAATTCCATTCTGCATTGGCGTGAATTGTGGGCTCCTGTCAGCCCAGCAAAAAGGAGCCCAGTACATAACCATTGTTCCAGTTTCCAGGTGGGGACCCTGGCTACAGAAGGGCAACCAAATGCTCAAGTGCTCGCCCTTACATCTGCTCGGATGCACAAAACACGAATCTGCAGGCTGGTAGGCTGTTCAGCAGCTCCAGCACGGAGCCAGTCTGGGCTTTTTCACCACAGCAGTGCTTTTTAAAGGGTGCCTTGTCTGGCTTGTAACTCATTGGGGTCTGGGGATAGGAAGGAAAGGACCCCGCCATGGGCACTGTACTCTCTTCTTTGTTGCTGCCTGTGTCCCATGCTTGGTTGCACAGGCAAGGGGCCCTTGCCGCTTTGTCAAGGCACATACAATTATTAACTTCACTGGGGCCATGCTTAGCCAGGGGCTCCCAAGGCCTCATGGGAAGGCAGCTCTGTAGCCCAAAAGCCAGCAGAAGGGCAAGAAAATTCTACAGAGGGGAGTGGGGAGGAAGGAATGAGGCAGAGACAGCAAGTCAGATAGAGTTTTAAGTGCTGTGTAGGCAGTTAGCAGGCACTCTGTTCAGCAGTTAGGATGGCCTCTGCCCACCCTCTACCCAGCTGTCCCATGCCTGTGCCCACCTGCCACCAATCTTCACGACACTGTTATGCACAAAATGCAGGAAGAAGTCATACAGGCTGCTGCTGGCCTCGTTCAGAGAGACGCTCTAGAAAAGCAGACACATGGAGGCAGATATATGAGGATGCCGAATGTTGCAGCAGGTCACCACCAGATGTCCCCTTAGGACCAAGCGTTCACGGGAAGGTCAGGGTCGGACGAGGGACAAGTATCACTGTATGGCCAGGTTGAATCTGACTCAAGGCGACAGGGTATGTGACTTACAAAGAAGTGATGCAACCTTTTCTGTTTCCACAGCACTAGGTCTAAAACCTTGGAATTCACACAGTTCCCCCGATGAACCAAAAGAAAACCATCTCAGTGAGCATGGCTGCCCCAAGAGTAGAATATGTATCAAAGAAGAATCTGTAGACCCACTAACTTGTGGGAGGAGCTCTTCTGTGTGTGGCTTATGGAAACACAGCTTCTGACCTAATGGGCCAAGATGGGAACCATAGATCAAGTCCAACTTGTCCATCAAGAGCAAGCGAACTGTCCTATGGTCTCAAGGTCAAAAGTGAGGGAGAAGCTATTTTTACCAGTTCACTAACAGAGCAGATGGAGTATGGGAGACAAGAGGGTAGAAAGGGCACTTCAAAGCAAGAGTCTTAGCATGCCCACCTAAGCAGCTATTGGGGTGGCATTGATCATGTCATGAGGAGAGTTACCAGGAAGAGCGGTCTTGGACATGGGGCCCTCTACCAAGGAGCATGTTGGTCACATTTCTGCACTCAAGCAAGTAGCCAGGTAGGGGTGGAAAGGTCCCACCAGGCGAGACTCATTAATGGGAACCCCGAGGACCTGTTCGACGACAATGGAGTTCCTCAGTGCGCTGGCATCTGGGTCTTGCAGATGCTTCACAAACTGGCCCATGTACGGCTGGAGGTCAGAGAGCGTGGAGACCTGCAGCAAAGAAAAGGTGAACACTGGAGGGGAACCAGAGGTGTGCGTGGTTTTCCGGCCAGGACAGCCACAGCACAGCTCGACTTGGGACCATTCCATCGCAGACACTTGTATGGGAAAGCGAACCTAGCACCCCAGCAGGAAGTGGACCAGCAGGCTTCACCAGAGTCAGCTTTCCTCAGGTCAGGCACCTCCATAATTGTGGTTACCAATGATCGCAACACAAGTAGCACCCTGATTTCTCCACAGAGACAGAGTGCAGACAGGAGGATGAAGAAGAGCTGACAGGGGATGGCTCCTTCATCTCCGGCAACAGACTCACTAGGATGCCTGCTTTTTCTCAAAGTGGCCACCAAGACCCCATGGCTCCATGACAGTGTGTCAGCAGAAGGAACACAAGACCATCTACGGACAGCACCGGAACAATTCTAAGCACGGCAGGTGTGAGGCATCCAGAGACGTGAACACTGGGCACCCTCAGACTTACAATTCTTCTATTCATTCTCATATGCTGAGATCACACATTGGCTTTGAATTTTAAAGTCTCTGATGTCAGGCAGCATGTGTGAATATGTATTATACACACCTATGAATCTATAATGAAACTCATTAAACAAAAATCCCATGTGCCAAGTGGGTTTGCTGTAGCTCTAGGAATAAAGTCACTGGAGTAGTTAAAGAGAAAGAAAAGAGTAGCAAGATACATAGAAAAGGCCCGCATTTTCAAAATAATTAAGTAACATGCTTCTAAGTGACGAAAAGGTTATCAAAAATTGCAATAAATAAAAAAGTGAAGATTTTGAACAGAATGATACTGAACTGGCAACACGCCAGAATGAGTATGGCCCTCCTGAGGGCTCTCAGTGAGAAATGTGTAACTTCAGGTGTTTACTTGTGGCTGGTGTGTCAATGGCTCAGCAAGAAAAGACACTGATGGCCAAACCTAATGACTTAAGTTCAATCCCCAGAATCCGCATGGCAGATGGAGAAAACGAACTCCTGTATGTTGTCCTCTAGCCTCTTCACAGGTACCACGGTGGCTGCTCTGGCCAGAGCAGGGAAGGACTCTCGTGTAGTGGCACGGATATGCCCTTGGTGTAGAAGCCACGTGGCCAATGCACATACTCACACATGTAAAAGGCTTGCCTGTGAGCCTTCTACGTCCTACCTCAGCAAGAAGCAAAGGAAGTCACCTTGCTCCTCTCCCAGGCCTAAATGCAAACTCTTCTACCTTTAAACCTGCATGCCCCACCTGCCTGCTGAGGAGGACATTGTACCTATAAATCATTAGATGGCCCCAGAGCGTGGGGGGTAGCTGCAGGTATCTCTTGGAAGGGGGAGCTCCACTGGGGTCCTGTAGAGAGAGGCAGGCTGGGTCACACAAATGACCACTGGAACCATGGACACCCCTGTCACAGACATGCACCTAACACAGGTATGCCTGTGTCACTGACAGAGCCCAGATATCCATGACAGGAGCAGGCCTGTGCCACTAACATGCTTGTGGCACAAACTAGAGTGCACTAGAGTACTAGTTTTACCTGTCTACTGAAGGACTTGTGGATTTGTCCCTGACTGTCTCTCTGGACCACTGCATACTGGCGGATACAGTACGTGTTTTCTGGGTGTCTGATCATATTGGCAATCACCTCCACAAGCTTGTCCTTGGGGATGGCGTCGTATGCCCCAGTCACATCCGCCTGTAGAATACATGTAAATACTACTAAGTGTGGTTGGGTCCAGGGTCAGGGGGTCCTGCTGGTTCTGTCCTTGGTGCCTGGGTTCCAACCTGCCTTTAGCAAGCCTGTAGGAGACAGAGAGATGCAGGGGAGGGATACTCCATGCTACTGTACCCACAGGACAAAGGACATTGGGGCCTAGCGGGCCTCCATTCCTCTCTCTAGCCCATTACCCCAGACTGAGGACCCCAGGACCAGGAAAGCCTGCATTCTCCTTTGCAGAGCCCCAGGGCCTACAAGGGCCCCCGGCTAACCCAGACACTGAAGCATCGGGGCCCTGGTCCTAGAGTCAGGCTTGGCTACTTCTCTGAGTTAGACCTGACCCAGCATCTAGTGGGATTCTCCACGGGGTGGAGCCCAGAGGGGTTGGAGTGTATTGTCCAATGAAACCGTAGAGAGCTCAAGGCTGTTCTGGGGAGCTGGTTATGCCAGAAAAATGGGGTCCTCCTGATCCTGAGAGAACTGGAGACCTTGGCATTTTTGGCCTATATATGGTAGCAGGCCAACACTCCCAATCACCAGCTTGAGCCTGCCAACAGGGTCACCCAGTGTTGGCTACTACAAAGAGGTCCCTAGAGCCCAGAGCATGAGAACAAACGTGATAGACAGGAGTCCAAATGACCACCTTGACAAAGTACATCCTGGGGGCCGCGTCCAGAGAGCGCACACGCAACACGAAGGTCCGCCAGGTCCTGTAGATGTCATTCATGCCCAGGACAGATGCTCCCATGAGGTTAGGATGCTTTGTCCGTTCATAGTTGAGCACACCGAACAGTGTGTTGAGACGCTGGGTGAAATGCTGGGCCTAGGGCCAAGGCCACAGAAGACACATTAGAACGGGACCAGGCAGACTGTCCCAGATCACCCTGAGTTCTCAGAATATACTCCTGGAGCCCAGCCCAGAGCCAGAGTCTCAGAAGACCTGTCCCACTGAGTCAACCCTCCCCCAACCTGCTCTAACCTGTTCTCATCCATTACGGGGGGCAACGTTTTCTAGGGGCCTGCCCACCGGGCTGGAGTCAGGTTCACCTTCACTCACAAAGGTCCTCCAGCCAAGCTGAGGCACCAGTTGCTTCACTCTGTTCTCTGGGGCATTACTGATGACTACACGGGCACTGAGAGGGGCCGGAGCTGTCACTGACATCTGGCTATGGGGTGGGAGGTGGCTGTGCCCTGGGTATTCTGCCCCCTGGCAGGAAGGCCATATAATGCCTACCCTACCTGGCAGGATCCCTGAACTATCTCCAGGGTTTGTGTCCCAAGCCCTCTGGCTCTTGAGACCATCTCCCATTCCTCAGGCCTTTCCACATGCTAGATTTTTGGACTCAGAAACCACCAGTTCCTCTGCCTCCCTCTTCTGTCTGTCTAGGGCTCAGGACTTCATGAGCCCTGTGAACTCAGAGTATAGATTCAATCGGCCGTACAGGGGTCAAGCTCAGTCACCTGCTTCTTTCTGCCAAAGGCTCCAGTACCCATGCTATAGCTCATGTTCACAACCGGCCGGAGACCACTGGGCTTGGGGATGAAGCGCAGTCTGCAGATGGGCATGGCTGGCCAGGCCTCCTGACGCTGCCTGATCTCCTCGTGCGACAACTCCCGCAGCTGCACTCTCTCAAGGTGTTGCCTGTTGCAAAGAGTATTGCTGTGGAGTTATGACACAAGTGAGACACACCCATCAGGGTGGTTGGGAACTTGGGGTACTTGACATGCAGTCATGCTACTGGGCTACATCCAGGACCATAGCAACCCACACCAACCAGGCACCCACAGAAGTGTCCAGGCAGGGATCATGACATGTAGTGTGTGTTGGCACCTGGCACATTTGGCCCCATTGTCTGCCCTTGCTGTTCTCTTCTTGGAGGTCCCATTGGCCAGGGCACTTTCGAAGTAATATGCTGCACTCTTTAGATCTACTGGCTTAGACACAGGTGTGAAAGCAGAGAGACTCCCTGCCCACCCCAAGGCATAAATGTGCCAAAATGCTCAGAAAGTCCTGTACTGGCAGTTAAAGGCCCCCACAACGGAGGGTGTGCGATACATAACTAGGGCTGGACTCCAAGAAAGTTTAACATGGAGCTGGGTGGTGGTGGCACACGCCTTTAATCCCAGTGCTTGGGAGGCAGAGGCAGACAGATCTCAGTGAGTTCAAGGCCAGCCTGGTCTATGAAGCTAGTTTCAGGATAGCCAGGGCTACAAAGAGAAGCCTTGTCTTGAAAAACAAACAAACAAACAAACAAAAAGTTGACATTGTAGTCTGGCCTCTGCAGGTCTTGCCTGGCCTCTCCTCTGCCTCCTCAGCTTGGCCTAGGACAGCAAACCCTAGCTCAATCAGCATAGAACCTCAGCCACTCATAGTCCTGCCAGCTTTCTGGGTGGACCCTGTGGTTCCCCACAGAAGGGGCTCCTCACAGGCACTTCCTTCAGGGATGGACATGAGGCGGGACCCATCTGACTCATGTACCAAACAGGCAACAGCTCTGCTTCTGCTGGGTATGGATTCCTACTTTAGGGGTCCAATAGATGGTGCAGGCCCAACTTATGATTTCACAGGCAAGAAAGCAGGATCTAGTCTATGACCACATGGATTCTGTACCCTCAAGGTCCATGGTTAGGCCAGCAGGTGCCACACACTGCTAGAGTCAGTGCCTCTGTGACACTGATAGCCGAGAGACGCCGTGTGGTACCTTACGCCGATGCTCTGCAGCTTGCTCCATACATTCTTACGGTAGAAGAACAGCCGGTTCTTTTGGAATGTGGTCTCGGTGATGTAGAAGAATGACCTGAGCAGCTCTACCACATAGGTGTCCATCAGCCAGAACAGGAACATTGCCAGGGTCCTCTCCCTCAGACGGTGCTCTGAGGCTGGGATACAGTTGTTCTCTGAAAGGAACAACACCCTTGACTCACCCCAGACCCATAATGTCCAGCAGAGAAGTCATGGGAACCCAGAGCCCAGGAGGTGTTGCCCTGGTCATGCTGGGCTCTAATAAAATACATTAATAAACCAGCGTAACTTGTGTGTGTGTGTGTGTGTGTGTTTAGTATGTTGTAAACTAAAGTTCCCTGACAAAGCCTTGGGGTGATGGGATCCTGCAATCCTACTGACTAGAAATGAGATGCTGCTGGCTGACAGCAAAATGCTCCTGAGCCATCTTTCATCCCTCAACAGGCATTCACTACCAACCTTGGAGTCTGCCATAGAGCCTTTGTGACTCCACTGATCCTTTTGGGATGGGTTGACCCAGCAAACCCTCGATTCCACCAACTCTAAAGCTAAGGATGTCTTTAGATAGGGGCTAGGGAGATGGCTCAGGTGGTAAAGTGCTTGCTGGAGAGATGTGAAAACCAAGTTCAATTGTCAGAACCCATGTTTTAAAAGGCAGGAGTGGCGACGCGTGCCTGCAATTCCAACGCAAGGGAGGCAAAGATAGGTGGATCATCGCTGAGTCAGCAAGTTCCAGGGGATTAAAGAACATACCTGATGTCAACCCTGGACCTGCGCACACAGGCACAGGCAAGCCTCAGTGGGTGCTGGTGCTATACTACTGGGTCATACACTAACTGCCACTGAGCAGAGCAGAGCAAAGCGCAGGCTGCTCTCACTGCCATACCAAACATATGGGTCCCATGCTCCATGACAGCTGTCCTCCCGAGGACCTCTGAAGATCACTCTGTGTAGCTCCGGAGGTCACAGAGGCCTCTTTACCCAGATAATGCTGGGTTCACCAGCTGTGAGGAGTCTAAAGGAAACTTGTAGGGGAGAAAGGGAATCCCAGAAGGAGGCACAAGCCAGAAGACAGAATGAACAAAGAAAGAAGGAAACAGCTCAGTGGTTAAGAGCATCAGCCGCTCTTGCAGAGGTTCTCATTGTTTCTCAGCTTCCATGTGGTAGCTCACACCGTCCTGTAACTCCAGCTCCAGTCCGGGCAGCTCCAGCACTAGGCATGTCAAGGTACCCATACATACACTCAGGCAAAGCAAATGGCCTGGAAGGATGGAACTAAATGTGCAGTGATCTTAAAAACAAGAATGATGTTTAACTTGGGAATAGAGACCGAAGGCAGAACTAAATCAGCAGAAAGACAGGAAGTTAGTGTTGATCAGATCCCAAACCTTACAGCTCAGATGTTAATGGGCTGCTCGAAGAGGAACGGTGCACATAACTTATAACTCCAGGTAAAAACAGGGTGAATCATGGTCACAGAGCAAGTTCCAGGACACCCCGAGCTACACAGAGACGCTGCCTTGAAAACCAACCAATCAACCAACCCAACCCAACCCAACAGAATGAAAACATGTGCACTCTACAATTATTCAGATACTCAGAGAGCAACACACCAGGGGTGCAGCAAGAAATAAGAGCAAAACAGCAGAGGGGATGTCTCAGAGGTTAAGATACTGACTGCTTTTTCAGAGGACTGGGGTTTGATTCCCAGCACCCACATGGTAGCTCTCAAAACTCCAGTTCAAGGGGATCCAGTGCTTTCTTCTGGCTTATGCAGGTACTAGGCATGCAAGTGGTATGTACACACACACACACACACACACACACACACACACACACACACACACAAAAGCAAAATACCCATACACATAAAAATTTCAAAACTAATGAAAACTAACTGGAAATAACAGAAGCAGCATATTCAGACACATTTCTTGTAGGAAGAAAGAAAGAGAGAGAGAAAGAAAGAAAAGAAAAAAGAAAACAAGTTTAAGTTTTTTAGCTAGGTGACAACTGTCAAGCTGGCATGACAATACATAAAAAATTCAATTGTGTGCTGTGGAAAGATTCCTCTAAACCATAAGAATGTAAAAAGTTTAAAAGCAAAATGTAAAGGAAGGAAAAACAAACAAAAGAGGCATAGCAGGGAAACACTGAAAGACAGCTGAGCTCAGTTTGAGCAGAGATTCACCTGCCTCCAGAGTGTTAGAATTACAAGTCTGAGCCACGACTGCCTGGGTAGGCATGTTTTTGTTTTTGTTTTATTTTCTTTTGTTTGAGACAGATTTTCTCCGTGTAACAAAGCCCTGACTGTCCTGGACTCGCTTTGTAGACAAGGCTGGCCTCGAACTCACAGAGATCAGCCTGCCTCTGCCTCCTGAGTGCTGGGACTAAAGGCATGAGGCACCACCACCCAGTCAGGTTTGTATTTTTAAAGGCTCACTTTGGAGCTCCCCAACATCACCCACAGTGGGCAAACACAGCTCTACCATCTTTTCCCCATGCGTGGTAAATACCCTAGGAGTTCGGGAAAGGAGAAAGCAGGGTAGGGAGTTTAGTCTCTTCCATGCGTGCACAGTTAATAACAGGAGGGCTGGCTGAAAGGGAGGGACCAAGTGGTAGCTAGGGTAGGCCAACCTCAACATTAAACCCAGAACACCAGGCAAGAGAGGGCACACGAGTCCAGGCTCCGTACCCTCCCAAGTAACCCAAACAGACCCCTTTTATGCAAGAGGACCCATTCTCTTTTCTCGGGTCCCTTCTCATACCTAAGATGGGACAGGGATCTTCACTGCAGGAAATAATCTTTTCATTTATTTCTCCTCCCTCCACCCTACCCTTCCTGGACCAAGTAGCTGCACCATTATAGCTTAAGCACACATCTGCACACTGGGTGAACCAGAAGAACCTTTGAAACTGAGGAGCCCTTGTTCCCACAAGGACAAATGGGTTCCCATGTGGACCTGCCGTTGTTATCAGGGAGACACTGTTCCACAGGGGAATTATGAATGACCTGCAGGAGCGGCCACTGGAGTTTCTAGATCCTCTCCTCTTACCAGGTGCCAGTGTTTCTACCCTCGATGCATCCCCTGTGCTCATCTGTTCACTACCATGTTTTCAGCACTGAGAACCCCCGCCCCAGGACTTGGACAACGGTCTCAGTCTGCGAAAGCTGGGCTGGAGGAAGCTTGGAGTCAGAGTCATCAGATGGGACTTACCCAGCCACTGATAGCATAAAGCCACCGCACCACTGAGGACTTGGGCTCCTGCCACCCACTGTTTCCCTCTTCCAGACCCCTGCTGCCTTCAGACCGGCCACACTCACCTGGGCTGCTGCGAAGCCAGGTGCAGTCCTCCACTTTCATCTTCCACATCAGCTCCTGCAGCGAGAGCTTTTCATACTTCCCCAGGGAGATGAACTGCTTCACGTTCTTCAAGAAGCGGCGCTCATTGTGCCTGGTACCCCAGAGACCCGCAGGCACCAGCTTGCGGAGACAGGCTCGCAGGAAGCTGTACACCTGCCAGGGGCTGCTGTGTAGTCGGAGCAAATCCATGAGGTGCTGCGGGCTGGTGCTCAAGGCATCTGCCACCTGGTGAGTTGCTGTCCGGAACCTGCAATGTGACCTGAGCAGTCGGACATATGGGCACCTTGCATGGTTCACAAGCAGCTGCTGGAATAGGGGCCTCATCTGCCAGTATCGCCGAGATAGGCGGCGTGTCCCGCTGAGTGGCCCTGACGTCCTAGGCCTCAAGCCTAGAAAGATGATCTCCACCAGTCTCCTGGCTCCAGTCAAGCTAGGCTGGAGGTTGTTCAGTAGAAAGGAGGGGTTCAGCTGCTCTCGGCCACCTCCCCTGGAGTAGAGGATGCGTTTGGTCTCAGTAAACGGTCTGAGCTGAAAGCCATCTTGGCACGGTGGTGACTGCAGGGATGTGGAGCTGGGCTTGTGTTTACCATACACTGACCCAGAGAGACTCAGGGCAGATGCCCTAACTTCCTTAGATAAATTTCCCTTGGTCTTGGCAAGACCTGGCACTTGTGTTTTGCCTGATGGGCCTGGAACTGCCTGCCTGTCGGGTCCATTCTCCACTCTGAGGGCTGAATCACACCTGGCCTTCTTAGCTGAAGGCAGGTTTCTGTCGGTGATGCTCTGATGCCGCTTCACACCCCGAGCTGGCAAGGCCAGCGGTTTCCGCGCTTCCAGGTGACTGCTGTTCTTGATCCGCTGTGTGGACTCAAGGTTGGTGAAATTCCTGCCCACAGGTCGTGTGGGCCTATAGCTGGTGGGCACAGAGGGTCGGGTATCCGCTGTGGCACAAATTTGGTACAGGGGTGACCCGCACACCTGATAGGCACAGTTGGGGGGCACCAGCAGGTAGAGTGCACAGCGTGCCAGCAGGTGGACCAGCAGGTCGTCGCCCACTCGGCTCAGCAGTAGCATCCATGCTCCGCTGCCGCGCACAGTCTCAGTAACTGTGTTGGGCAAGTAGCTGCGCACGCTGGTGGTGAAGACCATGGGAGGCCCGCCTTGGTCCCCGTTAAGCAGAGCGAAGCCAAAAGCCAGCACGTTTCTCTCGCCGCGCTCGCAGAGTCTCTGTACGACCCTGGCCACCAGCTCCTTCAGGGATGACACCTGGTAAGGAGAAGAGGGTCTTCACAGATGAGTTAGGCGCGCTGTCCCGCGTCCTCCCCACCCCCGACCCACGGAGGCCCACCTGGTGGAAGGAAAGGCCAGCAGGTGGAGGTTTCGAGCCCCAGGGCACGCACACTAGGCACCGGTCAACCAACGTGCGGAAGGCCTTTGGGTCCCCGGGTTGCACAAGCCGCCTGCCCTCAAGCCCCAGGCGCCGCACGAAGGTCGCCAGTGGCCACACCTCGCGGTACCGGCTGCGCAGCAGAGCGCGCACGGCCCGGCAACGAGGCGCGCGGGGCATCGCGCTCAAGGTTGCGATGGGCCTCCCACGTGCGGGAACAAACTCGTGGGGCTAAGCTTAGAAGAGTCAGGCTCCCGTGAGAGCCCGCGGCAGAAAAAGGTGGGACCCGGGAGGGAGGAAGAGGCGGGATCAGGCGGACCAAAAGTTGTAGCGGAAGGGGCGGGGTCGCAGCAATAGCTCCAGTTGGCCCCACAGTTGGTGCTTAGGTATCACTGACCAGGTGTGTTTCCCAGCCTAGTTCGGGAAGTGGTTGCAGGAAGTGTTGTTGTAACAGGGAGGCGCAGTTTCACGAAGGGTAGCCCAATACACAGTGCTTCTCGGCCCCCCTTTCGGCCAGAGCTGGGGCCCCCAGGTGGTCAAGACTGGGGCGAAGTAAGACGCCTGCCCTTAATTTATTGCAAGTTAGTAGGCGGAGGGACCTAAGGCCTTGTCTGCTCCTGAGCTGGCTGCCGCTGCCTGCCTGCCTTGTTCGGCGCAGACAATCAGGCTTCGTGATTACAGCCGGAATCCTACTGTACGGTTCTTAACGGCTTTATTGTGGTCCTACCATAAGCTCAGATCCCAAACAGGTTCCATTAACACCCACCACCAAAGAAAGGGGACCACATCAAGCCAGACGTCAGCTTTTTGCACGGTAGCAGCGGCCTTCACCCCAGGGGTCAGAGCTGCTGATCATCCGTCACTCGTGAACCATGGCGAGGCGAGGGGCCATTGGCCAAGGGTGTTGAGAGTGCATACAGCCAAAGCCGCGACCTCAACGTTAGGACGGCAGCCCCCTTACCCCCAGGCTGGCAATTGTGATAGTACTTGCAATCGCGGGGGGGGGGGGGGGGGGATTGTGGCTGCTGTGTGGGCAGGGACATAGATGGTGACACTACCCATATAGCTAAGGAGGGGCTGGTGAAGTTTCAGTCTCTGGGAAACAGGGAATCTATGGTCTCCACAGGAGCTGAATTTGGCAAACACTGAAATGCTAACAAATATAACCTTTGGTGCCTTCAGCTTTGTGAGGAAATTGCGTCTATCCACCAACCTAGCATTTGAACAGGCGCTTTCTCGTATTTACTCCCTTTGAGGAGGTCTGCCGCCTTGTAAATGCCCGGGATTACAGGAGCTATTTTAGAAGTCCATTTAGTGTGGATCAGTCTTTCTGAGGGCTGTGTTTGAGGTTTGCTTAGTTCTGCTACGTAGAAGATCTGGGACTGAACTGAGAAATTTATGGCAACAACGAAGTTGCTTTAGTGTGGTTCCCCAAATAAAATAGCATAGAATACGGTTTCAAAAGTAAGAATTGGCCGAGTATGGTGGTGCACACTGTAATCCCAGCTCTTAGGTGGAGACAGGAGGTGAAGACAGCATTCAAAACCAGGCCAGCGACACACTGAGATTGCGGTCCACTTGGGCAAAATAAGACTTTGCCTCAAAAAACAAAGAAGACGAAGGGAGTGGGGAGCACCTGTGACCACTCATGAGGCCCTGGGTTCAAGCACCAGAACCAATCAGATAAAAGCAGACTAGATGAAAACGTGTAGAAAGTCGTTTGTAAGCTATGATGGAACCACTGAGAGAGAGAGAGCCTTTTTGTAATAGGCCTGCTGTAGAAAGCTGCTCTTAGAGGCACAAGGCCAGGAAGAGGCTCTTTTGGGAGGGCTGCACCCAGGAGCTATCCCAGAGACAGCAGGTTGGTAGAAGTTAGAGACTGCAGGGAAGGAGGTAGAGGAGAGGACCTCAAGTGCCCCTGCCCTTCTAGGAAGCAGTGTCTAAGTGGAGAATCCCTGGAGACCTGTCATGCTCTAGTCTGTCACCCCTTCCTGCGGGCAGCAAGTGGCTCCCACTGGATTCTCCCCTTTCATAATCAGCACCCATCCAGGCAAGGCTCTGTCCAGAGCCTGTCCTGTCCAGAGATCACTGGGATACTGGTTTATTTCTTAGTGGTCAAGATGGAAACATGGGAACAGTAATTTTCATTCACCTCGTTTGCCATTGACACAGCAATTTCATACCCTTTATTTCATCACCATCAAACAGCTCAGGAAGTATGTGAATGAATGCCATCACACACTTTTGCAGTCTGGAGGCTGGTGACTCCCTGACATCCCAGATAGCACCTCAAGAGAGCACACACTGGTACTGGGCGTAGGAGTTTCGCACTGACCAACTTGGTCTTTTCTCGGGAAGGGTTACCTTGTCCTGCTTTTCTCAGTGGCCCCTCCCTCACAAGTACCAGCTTAATCCATGCTGACACCGCTCCCATCTCTTATTTGCTTCATCTTGCACATTAAATCGTCTATGGAAACCAATAAAAAGTACTTAGAGCACAAAAATCTCTTTGAATGTCATTATTTAATCCTCATGGCTTGGCAAACAGAGCTCAGTTCCTTTTTTTACATCTTTGGATTTTCAAGCACTTGGAAGTTATTTGATGAAATTTAAGAAAACAGTAGGATAAACTCATCCAGTTGGACCTGGAAAGGTGGTGTTTGCTTATGGGATTAGGTTTCTTAATTGTTACCATTGTAGGCGTGTGGCTGGTCAGCGATGTGGCTCTTTCTCAGAGGATGGGGTATCTGTGGAGCCCCTCAGAAGAGAGGTTTCGTCCAGGCTGGACAAATCATCTGACCTAATGTGAGCTGGTTGTAACCAGGAATAGCAAGAGAAGGGAAAGAGATGTATGATCACTGGCTTCTCACTTGAGAAAAGACTATTCAGTTTTTTATTCCTCAAAGAAGGTACCTTAATCCCTTCCTTAAAGAGGCACCTCTGCTCCTGCTCAAGAGCAGAGGAAGGCGGAGCCACTGCAAGGAGATGGCCTTGAGCCCTTCTGCATGCTGTATCTAGCCACTGTCCACTCTTCTCTCATTACTGCAATAGGTTTTTAACTCTTCTCTTTAATACTTCCATGCCACAATTTTTTCTTTTCATTTTTATTAATTAGTTTGTTCACTTTCTATCCCACCTGTAGCTCCCTCTCTTTCCCCCCCCTAATTCCACCCTTCCTCCCTCCCTGTTCTCCACCTATGCCTCTCCCCAAGCCCACTGATAGTGGAGGTCCTCCTCCCCTTCCTTCTGATCTTTGTCTATCAGGTCTCATCAGGAATGGCTGCATTGTCTTCCTTTGTGGCCTGGTAAGGCTGCACTCCCCTGAGGGAGAGGTGATTAAAGAGTAGGCCAATCAGTTCATGTCAGAGACAGTTCCTGTTCCTATTTCTAGGGAACCCACTTGGACACCATGGGCTACATCTATAAGCTGCCTTGGGCTACATCTTTGCAGGGGTTCTAGTTTATCTCTATGCATAGTCCTTGGTTGGAGTATCAGTCTCAGAAAACACCCCACTGAAATCAGAGACAAGGCTGACTACTCTCTCCATATCTCTTCAACATAGTTCTTGAAGTCCTTGCTAGAGCAATAAAACAATTAAAGGAGATCAAGGGGATAAAAATCAGAAAGAAGTCAAAGTATCACTATTTGCAGATGATAAGATAGTATACATGAGTCACCCAAAAAATTCTACCACAGAACTCCTACAGCTGATAAATACCTTCAGCAAAGTGGCTGGATACAAAATTAACTTAAAAAAAAATCAGTAGCTCTCCTTTATACAAAAGACAAAAGAGCTGAGAAAGAAATTAGGGAAACAACACCCTTCACAATAGCCACAAAAGACATAAAGTACCTTGGTGTGACCTTAACCATGCAAGTCGAAGACTTGTATGAAAAAAATTTCCATGCCACAATATAAGAGGATCTGGAAAGATCTTTGAAAGATATAAAGGAGTACCTAACATCCTGCTTTAAATATACCCACCACAGCCCTCTCTTCCAGTCTTTTACTCTGGGTTTCTATCCGCACACTATGGCTTGGGTCTCACCACAGTGGTGTGTGTGTGTGTGTGTGTGTGTGTGTGTGTGTGTGTGTGTGTGTGTACAATTCTGGAAGCAGTGCTAGTTCCTGCCAAGTCCTCCCTGGACTACAACAAGAAACATTCCACATTTTAAGTTTTAGGATTAGTAGTTTAACAAAATATGAAAACAAACAAACAAAAAACCAAAACAAACCTCCAAACACACAGCACTGAGGAGGCCCAAACAGGACAGACAAGATTTCAAAGTGATGCTGAGCTACCAAAGTATGACTATCTCAATTAAAAAAACAAAACAAAATTTAAAAAGTGCAAACACAGAAAGTGTGAGTGTAAGAAGTAACAACAAAAACCACACCCACAATAACCCCACAGTATTGTTAGATGTAAAAATTCCACAGCTACTGAAACTGGTTCATAATATGATACAAGTTTACGTTTAGAATGTGTTGGAGGAGGGTCTCCTTCACTGTGTTTTCACATGCCAATTCCAATGCCTGAGATCTGATGCTGCCCAGATGAGTTCATGTTCCCATGCACCTGTCCTTGTTGAGTAAACCTAGCTCTACTTGTGACTTGGCAGAAGAGAGGGATGAGGAGTTTATGTTTCCAGTCTTAGGGGTCAAGAGACCACAGGCAGAGAGGGAGGAGGAGAGAAAGGGCAGAAGATGGAGCAGAGAATGTGGCCTAATGGAGCAGATCCAGCCCAGAAAGGATGACTTATTGGCAAGTCATTTGGGTTGTGTAGCTGAGAGACAGATAGTTTTGAGGGTTGAAATCTGCCCAGCACCAGTTTGGATGCTAGAGGGGTTAAAAATACTGTTCTAGGGCTAGAGAGATGGCTCAGAGGTTAGGAGCACTGACTGCTCTTCTGAAGGTCCTGAGTTCAATTCCCAGCAACCACATGATGGCTCACAACCATCTATAATGAGTTCTGGTGCATAATAAGATCCGGTATATACATAATAAATAAATAAATAAAAATCTTAAAAAAAAATACTGTTCTAAAAATACTAGTTTTGTTTACCAGTATTTTATTAACTAGTATCTACAAGAATGCAAAAGCCAGAAGGCAGAATATAACTAAAGAGCACATCAGAAGATTTACAGAAGCAAACAGAGGCTCTGGAAATAAAATGCACATGTAAGTCAAAGGAACAAAAATTTCAACAAATGAACCAAGGTAAAGTTATCTTAAAAGAAAATAGATGATA